TCAGTTGTTGCATGCATCACACTTCTTTGTTCTGCATTATTTGTGATTTTTTGAAACAATATCAGCTTTCACAGTTGGGTGAGCAGGTTTTATCTGACCTACAACTGTCCAATTTATTTACTACTTAAACATTAGCCTTCAGTAGTAATTTATGTAGAAACAAATTAAAAAGGAACAAATTAATTGAAGCTGTAATTCGTGGGTACCAATACTGCTTTTTGTGACTTCGGCATGTATTTTTTGCTAGCAAAATGCTGTAAGATTTATACCACTTGAATAATCTACCATTTTTGCTTTTATTTGTATAAAGCATAAACACAATATATACAATGGAGACAACTCATTTCTAAAAATTTACATATTGCAATAGAATGAAATTATAAGTAACCTTAAAAAAAAAAAGAAAAAAAAAAGCCAGGAAAAAAAAATTTAAAAAGTTGCAAGACATGTTTTCAGTGCAGAATCTTTCAGCATCTTTCGTAAGCATCTCATTAAAAATGCTTATGCAAATTCATTTAAAATATACTAGAATTGCTGTTCTGGTTATTTCTTTACATCTAATTGTAGGGAGACTTGCATTGTAACACTGTCTTGGTATTCACAAAGATTAACTGTAAATTACCTTAATCTTTGTGCAAATTAAAGGGGCACTGCCTTATGCTCTGAAACAGCTTCTAAGGCTTTTTGGCTTTTCCATTGAGATTCTAACATGTATTATGATTTGTAATTGGAAGCATTACCCTCAGTCATTGTCATGAGATATTCTAATTGCTCTTAACCACCATGTAAAAAAATACTGTATATCTTTTGAGTTTTTTTGGTAGTTACTTCTCCTGTGCACAGGTAATAAATGAATTAAAAAATCTGCAAGCATCTTGTCTCAGTGTGTTTGCACTTGATGATTACCAGGCATTCAAGGTGATCATCTTAACGATTGGTCTCTCCATGTAAATTCTGGGAATATTTACCAATTTGTGACCAGGATCAGTAAACAATACTTAAATCGGAGGAGAGGGAGGAAGGGGCATACGACATTGAAGAGCATTGATAAAGTGAAGGTAGTGAAATAAAGCGTGCTGCTGTGCATACTCGTGAATGCCTGTACATGATTCCTTTTATGGTCTTTGGTGTCTGTATATTTGTGAATATTCTCATGTAATTCCTCTGTTGTGTTAAACAGTTAATGTGGGCAATCTTTTTGATGGTACAAATATAAATTCAGTTTCCTCTGAAAAATAGTTTGCGAATAGTTTGAGCTTACCAGTCCTGACTTGGTTGTTAGTTAAATGAAACACAATTACATTGGGATAAGAAAGAGGATGTTAAGCATGCACTGTCTTTTATATATAGTGTTATTGTTGAAACTCTAGGCAAAACCAAGCATGCAGATTTTCTAGGGAGTAACTGTGTTGCATTCTCACGGTATTTGCTGTCCAATACTTTGTTTCCTGCTTTGGCAGTTTGGTGGTGACACTGGGAAAGTTCAACACAATCTCGTTGTTGGCAGGCCTCTGCCTCTGGATCAAAGTCTCATAGATACAGCAGCATAGTATTAAACAAACAAAAACTAATAAAAACAGAATCTCCTGGTAGGTTAAGTTTCGCATGATCAAACTCTCTTAAAATCCCACCCAAATTACAGGTAATTTTTTTTCTTTGCCCGTGATAGTGAGCCTACAGGGGATCTTACTTCACAGTGCCTTGTCTCTGGGTAGGTGTCATTTGTGGCACTGAGTTTGAGGTTGCAAAAGGGAAGTGGTAGGAAGTAATTTATGTAGATATTTTCATAGCTGAAAATAACTGTGGCTTGGTCTCTTCAAAGTAACTAACACGACTTGACATTTTATATGGACCTTGCATTAAAAAGTGAGACCTCCAGTGAGTCACTCAGGTTATATTTTTAAGAAGAAAACGTAATCTTTTTGACAAATCCACTCTCAAATAAAAGACCCAAGGGTGAGGTGGGGAAAAGGAGTGTTTTTTAAACGGCGATTTTAATGGTGATTTTAAATCTTAGTACCAAGATACCAAAACACTGAATATAGCCTACACGAATACCCTTTTGAAACATTCAGCTTACCTGTGTAAGTATTTAATTTGCACATCAATGAAGAAATACTATATTTGAAGTCAATTAAGCAAAGATTAATTTTGATCTAAATTCTGCAGTGAACCTTTAGCTAAATTTACTTCTCGAGGTATAATCAATGTTTAATTTTTCAGTAACTACTGTCAGTGTGCTTTCTCATAATAAGCTGATAATCTTTTTATAGACAGTCTTAGACTCTCAAATGGAAGAGATGGTAGAATCCACTCGTGACCCTTGGAAATGCAATTCTCTCAAGCACGTTCCTGCATGTTAGCAGAGTTGCAGCATCTGAGCAGGTTTTTCCTGTGGTGGGAAAACGTTGACCATCCCTGCAAGCCATGGTGGCCTTGTAACATGGTGTGGTTAAAAACTAACATCGTGCCAAAAATTTACGAAACACGGAACCAGGAGACTAGTGTTCCTAGTTCCTGCCATATTGGGAAAAATAAATCAGCCCTCAGAACAAATGAGAAGTTGATTCTGAAGAGTTGTGCAAACTTCCTTTCATAAATGAAGAGAGAAAAAAAAAAAAAAGGAAGCTTAGAGGCAAAGCAAGCATAGAAAGTTGTCTTGCATGGGTGACTTTCCCATGCTTCCCTGAGAGCAAAGGTTTTCAGCTGCTACTTGTCTTTTGTTGCTTTTGTTCAAAGGGAGGTTCAGCTATTCTCTGGCTGTATCTTTGATTCTCTGAGATTGAAAGGTAGGGGAAACCTCTTCCAGTCTTCAGTTACAGAGAAAGGAAAGATACTTTTGGCTTTTTTTCAGGTCAGTTTTATGGAGGGGAAAAAAAAAAAGGTGTTATTTTTAACATCTTGCTGTGTTCAGTCATTTGTCAGCTGTCCTTAGAAATACAAAGTTCTCATGAATGTTAACCGAGCAACATTTAACTAGCTTAAGCACAACAAAAACATACTGATGCTTTTTGGCTATAGTGCAACTTAGAACAGACCTTGTACTTTGGTTTTCTAACAGAACTACGTAAGTGGGTATTATAACTTTCAAGCACAGAGAAGATATACCTTCTACCTGTTATAACTAGGTTACTTAACAGTAGCAAAATCTGCAGCTGTCATTTATAATCTTAACAGTATATTATTTAAATGGTTGATTTGTTTTGCTCTCATCAGGATTTGAACTGGAAATGGTTTGTTTTGCAATAAACTCAAGCAAAAGTCAAGTACATTCTTAAGTATGAAACATTCCTTTCATAATAGACAGGTCATATAAAATTTGAGGGAAGGCTGAATCTGAAGGAATAAAATATGGAAAGTGCAGTAAGAATGTGTTACTCTGTTTAGAAGAGAGAGACTTAGAAGCCCTGGTGCCTAAACAGACTTCTACATGAGAGAGGGATTTCCCGAGGGTGCCAGCCAGTTTGTGAGCGTGATATAAATACACAGATCTGCACAGGCTCTGCGACGCTATCCAGTTTAAGAGCTTAGTTTTCTAGATTCTCCTGCTTAAAAGCTCTTAGTATCTTTCAGATACAAGGGACTGAAATGGAATCTTCTTGCTTGATACTGTGTTCTGTGGCAAAATGCAGCGGCACCCCCATCACTGCTCTGTCCTGTATTCTTTAGCTTTACTGTGTCCAGAAAAAAGTGAATGTATATCTGCATTTAAGAGTGGACAGATGCAGATGCGCTTTTCTTATAAAATGGCAAGGAGAAAATACAAAGACTTCATTAAAGATGACAGTACCACAAGAGGGTGCCATTTCTTTAATTTTCAGTGCATAAACTTTACAGCTCAGTAACACTTCAGTTTCACAATTCACTTTCAGTAGACTTTGCCTCAGAGCCTTCCACTTGGACCATGGCTGTCCCTCAGAACAACCATGAGTGTGCAAAAATCAACTGAGGACAAAGTGAGAAGGTGTGTGTGTTTTTTTTTTTTTTTTTTCCAACTCCCAGGACTGCTGTAATCTACAGGTGCACAGCTTAACACTGCTAACTACCTGCTCTTTTTCCTCCGGGTGAAACAAACAGGAAAAGACCACTTCTCTGTGTGTGTATATGTTTGCATGTTTACAATCCTAAATCTGTATTCAAAATGATTGGTTTCAGTCAGATTATGTTCATATATAACACTGGACTAAGCACTGTGGTTAATGCATGGTAAACCACAAAACCCTCTCACCACTGCAAACTGAGAAGATGAACATATTCCAACTAGTTACCTAGATAAAAAGTATTCTAAAAGCATTTCAGCTCACAGGTTTTATTCAAAAAGGAATTAACTAATCCTCTAAAAAAAAAATCATAAATTTTCCAGAGAATGCTAAAACTAATAATCCGTGCGCAATTGTACCTAGGGATGGTTCCATTCAGTCTAACTTGTGCAATCTTTCCAATAGGAATTAATATAACCTTGTGAAAATTTTGCAGATAAGAGACATAGCTTAGAATCATAGAATGCTTAAGGTTGGAAGGGACCTCTAGAGGTCATCTAGTCCAACCTCCCTGCTTCTCTAACAAGGGAAAAAAAATAAACATTAAAAAGGCAAGAAAAAAAAGGACTTAAACCTTAAATTCTGTGACTATATTGAAAAGAAAGAAGTATATGAGAAATGGTGTGATCTCAGGTTTTAAAGTAGTTGTAGGAAAACCTATTCATAAGTGGACTGGGCATAACATAGGCTTAATTGGAAGAGTAAAGCATGTTGAAAGAGGGAAATGAAAGAAGGTCCAATGCTGAAAGAATAAAAGTTAGGGTTTTTTAAAGAAGGAAATATCCATCAATCCTATGCTCAGTATCTTATCTTACTGGCTGACTCACTACAGCTTACTTTCATCAGTGCATGCACTCTGAATAAGAGGATGCTAATTCAAAGCCAGTATGATGCCCTTTTCATTTTTTTTCCAAAGCTTTCAGAGAATTGTGTTTTTATATCGCCTTAAGAAAATAATTAAAATGCTGTTTTACAACTCTTGCTTGAGAGAGTTTCAGTATATATAATTTAGAAACAACTCTGAAAATGCCTCATTCTGAAAAAATACCTTTCTCAATTTCCAGCACTATTTCAGGAAGAGATTTTTCTATACTGACTGTAATGAAGTTTTCTGGTGCTCTAGGAGGCTCCAGGGTATCAAACTGAGATTTAAGTAATTCAGGTGACATAAAATGTCCTCTCCTCTTCTCCAGCCGACGAGCAATGACGTCTACAGGCCCATCCAAATGAACAAAGAGGATCTTCAGTGCTGTGTTTTCTCTGGGTTTCTCTGGCTCATTGCTTTCAAGTGCCGCAGGTCCACTGACTAATATACATCTATATATTTTCTTCAGCGCAGAGCAGGCCAGAACTGCATCTTGTCTAGATGCTTCTTCTCTACCGAGAAGAAAGAAAACACACCAAAACACTTGGTATATTAAAATAGCAGCTACTCTGTTCAGTTCTTATAGTGGGCAGCCCCTGGTTCCTTGCAGAGAACACCCTTAGATATACTGACATTTCTTTTTTGTTGTTTTGACACAATTTGGAAATCAATTTGATAAGGAATGTAAGGACCTAGTTTGAAAGTAAGACCAAGATAGCCTGACTCCTACTAAAACCTCTATCTTAGGACAGTTCTTCATGAGCCACCATTCTTTTGATCAGAACATAGTGCAAAGAAGTGTCACAGGCATTTCCTTAATTGCTGAAAAAAGCAGCAACTGAATATTCTCAGAATCTCCTGTCTGTCATCTAAAAATGATGATATGCATCCCTCTAGACAGTAATGCCTGCTGAATGAATCAGGGTGACTGAAATGTCTGGCACAGGAAAGTACATTCTCTAATCAAATTAAAATGAGGTATATTTAACAATGATGCACACTCCTGAAGCAAATAAATGAGAACTTACAGTATGCAGTATTATCAGCTAGGTGAGCCCATGCCAGCCTCAACTACTTTCAAGTAACTATACCTTGGCATCAGGCACTATTAAAGCATACTTGGTACTGCCAAGGTTTTGGAGACGTCCTAGGCCTGTGTGCCACAGAAAGCCATGGATCGTGTTCCAACAGGATCCAGACAAACTTCTCAGTAATTAACCCACACTCTAACAAGGCACTCACGTGATGTGCACACACAGGTACCAGCCTGGATGAAGCCACAGTAAAGACACTTGGGGAGCAAGAGAGATAGGGGAGGCAGGGCTAGATGAGAAGTTTTGTCAGAAAAAAAACTTTGAGATCATGTTTGTAAGCAAAGTGATACATTGGGAAACAAGTGGGTGATGCCATAGGATGGGTGGCCTGTTTCTCCTTCCTTTTTCTTTTACATGTCGCTAGGGAGCCTGGGATCACAGAATCTCAGGGATCCAAGAAGCAACGCAACATACTGGAGCAAGCTAAGAGGAAAAGGACTTTTTAGCTGTGATCCTCATCTTTCTGCTTGAGGCAAGTGTGTAGTGTGTGACCAGGTGAAATGAAGCATCACAGAAATGCAGTTGTGACAGGACAGCAGCAGTGGGATGAGTCACAGCTCTAACTAGCTGTGTCAGGGGACCAGTTCCATGGTATTTAGAAGGTATTTTGCCAGGGGGAGACCCTTTGGAGTCTCCCTTAGAGTTTAAGATTCTAGATTGGTCTGAAGCGAAATCAAATTCTCCCAAGGGCTGAGGCCCAGCAGTTCATCAACCTGCTGACATTTTTGGATGGCACAGATGAAACTCACAAGATCTGTCCTATCTTGAAACATCAAGATAAGGCCTGATGTTGGAGATAAGTGGCTAAAGATGCAAAACAATTCACAGTTTTTGAGCATCCTCAAGTTCTTTGCCATTTGCTTCTTATTCCTTATTAAAACAAATTAAAACTTCAATTCACTCATCAAAAAAATCTGTTGTTTCACTGCCCAAAAAACAGCTAATGTTATATTCTTGAACTGAAATGCATAAAAGTGATCTTGTATTTCATCTTGTATAGGAATCTGATAATTCAAATGTTAAATCTGTTCTAAGGTAACTGTTTACACAAATTGAATTGTTATTTCTTTTTCCTTGCACTTTGGGATACTCAGGTTATGCTTTGGATCAAATTCCAGTTATTCCAAATTAAAACAGAGTGAAAAATAAAGTGAGCTTAAAGCTACATGTTTTATTCTTCTCATTTTGAAGTTTCATAAAACTTCCTTTGAATTATCTTTGTCTGTTTCTGAACATTTAAGGCAAGACTATTTAGGAAGTATGTTTTAATTAATAAACTTAAAGATTGAATGATGAGCTGGTCAACTGATTTAAATTTCTGAAAATAAACACTTATAAAGATAGATTTAATCTTATATTAACCAATGCTTATGTTTACCAATCATTTTTGAACTGTACTTGACTGAAACTGGTGAGATTTTCAGAAAAAAATCCTAAATTCATTACTAAATTCATACCAAGTTCTTGGCTACTCTGAAAGTAGCTAATGTCACACTTAAAATTCCAAAGATACAGCTTTCAAAAATAAGTTCTTATACAGTAGAACAAAACTATCATTGCCAACAGCATTCCCAACATTATTACTCAGGAGTTAACATTCATCCTTATTCTGACACCTCCAGTAGGTGAAAACAGAATGGCTTTGCTAGCTGCAGAGTATTTTTATACTATATAGATTTCTGCTTTTGAATACAATAGGAAAAACACTTTGCTTTGTTTAGCTGGAACTCACTAAAGATAGAGAGGTTTTCTTACCTCCTTAATATATCATGCAGTGCACAAAGCCATGGAATCCTATCCTAAATGGGAAACAAAATTATTTGTGAAATTTATTTGAAATAACAATTTTATCATTTAGAATATCTGACTAGAAGTGAGAATTAGCATTATAATGTGGAGCAGGTTCAATTGTGTATCTCTGCTGTCACTGCATTAAGCTTAAAAAGCCCAACACACCTTGTTAACAGTAAGAAGGTTAAGTGGAATAGTACCCTTTATATTGCAAATATCTAGAATTATCTTATGGCACTAATACACATAACATGCTTTGCAAATCTTTGAAGAACCATCAGATTATTTAATGCCTCTGCTAGACAATTCAAATGTTAAATCTGTTCTAAGGTAGCTGCTTACACAGATTGAATTGTTATTTCTTTTTCCTTGCACTTTGGGATACTCAGATTATGCTTTGGATCAAAGCTGAGGATTTCAGGAACTACTCCGAGGTGTCAACACAGATCCAAAAGTACTTATCTGAAATAGATTAGTTACATAATTTTCATGTCAGTAGGAATCACACATAAATGCAGTCACAGCCATATTTTGCAACACCTTTGCTTAATAGAGTTTGGAAATACAACGCAAGTGACTGATATATGTCATAGAATCACAGAATGCTTAAGGTTGGAAGGAATCTCTAGAGATCATCTAGTCCAACCCCCCTGCACACGCAGGGTCACCTAGAGCACGTGGCACAGGACTGTGTCCAAGCGGGTTTGGAAGATCTCCAGAGAAGGAGACTCCACAACCTCTCTGGACAGCCTGTTCCAGGGCTCTGGCACCCTCACTGTTAAGATTATTTTCCTTAAGTTCCTGTGGAACTTTTGATGCTTTAGTGTTCTGGCCATTTCCTCTAGTTCTGTCAGTGGCCACCAGTGAAAAGAGGCCAGCACCATCCTCCTCACTGCCTCCCTTGAGATACTTATATGCACTGATTACCTACTTGTGAACTACCAAACATGATCCTCCCTCTCTTCCCAGCTGCAGTCCTACAGGTTTAACCTGTTTACAGTCAGTCTACCTTACACAAGGTACATGAAGAAAAGTGTGTCGATGCCTATTCTCTCAGGATTTATCCAAAGTTACCTCATCATTTAGTGGTATCCCTTCTGCCATCTTCTTTTTATTCTCTGGAGAATGATAATCATCTGCATCATAGAACTTCCATCCCAACTAAGTGGGGGGGAAAAAATAAAGGAATTAGGGACCATTCTCCTAAACTGGATTAGCTAACAAGAATCTCAGAGTTTATCCAGGCGCCTAAAGAATCACAGGCCTCTTGCACAGTATGAATCACCATTTATGCAATGATGTTTACTGAAACCACAAAATAAGATTAATAAGAAACAGCAAGAGGTGATGAACAATGGTTGTTGCTGCTTACATAAATTTGGGTTACACTGCATCAGTGATAGTCACCCGATCCTGATTTAGTGAGCAGACTATCCCAATAAAGGGCAGTTGTTGTGCCCGGTGTAAATACCAGTGAACTACAGGCTGCCAGAGCAGCAAGAAAAAGTTAAATTTATCTAAACAAATATAAAAATAAATAAATGGCAACAAGCACCCACACCTCAACCTTGACACAACCATACCTTTGCTGCCAACCGGGACCCCACCGTGGTTCTGCAAGTGAGCATAGCAAGTTTGTTAGATAATCATCACCTTAAACCCCCTTTTTTCCCCAAGAGATGAGCTACCCTCCCGCCGGCTCCAGTACAACCGCCCACTGCCACCACCATCGCCTCTGCCTCTGCTTCCAGCTGTTGAAGAGGAAAACATGAATCTCGTCTGCAGCAGTAACACCAACATTTCCAAGTCATCAGCACACCTCCTCACAACCCCAGCATAGTTAATAATTACTTAAAACTTTAAAAGCCAGCA